AATAACTAATATAAATCTCGCTTGAAACCGTGCAAAGTATTTAATTTAAAGTAAATATTTGAATATAAAACGAATTCCTCAATACATGCGTTAAGGATAATACAGTTATTGAGATTAAAATTCGAACGTAAAATGGATAACAAGTGCAATTTTTCGAATTGCCCGTTGAAATTCCTGGAACGGATATAACATTCAATCAGCTATGTTCATTCTACGGGAAATGCTCGTTATTCTATAATATTCCTTAGTTGAATGCACTAGCTATAAAATAGAAATGATTTTTCTTTGTATAGGTTTTTCTATTCATATTACCGTTTTCTTTACGGCTAATAGCTTTTGGTATTATTATGAAGTAGGTAAGCTTTTAATGAAAACATATGGAGATCATTGTTTGCTGGTAAACGAGTCACGAACCACCGTCCGCAGATGTAAAAGCCAAAATAGGTCGACCGCGCATCATGTTGAGATGCTATAGGCTGGGGTATTTCACCCACCTGAAATTACTTGTCTCTCCTCCTCTACCATTAAAAAAACACATTATTTCAAGACTTAGTTATTCCAAACCGCCTCCGTGCTCAAATGGTTAAATGTTTTAGAAGCTACAGATCTTACCTGTTCAAATTCCAGGAAAGAACATAAATAAAAATGAAGGGAACAAATAACAGAAGACTAACTTGCCTATAACTAATATCATTGTAATAGTCGCACACAGATTTTACAAGACATTTTTTTTATTTCTACTTAACATACAACTCAACATGTTTTATGGTGTTTTAAGAACTATTCTAATAAGATCTCACCATTTGTTATCGTAGCAACATATACACAAATAGCATTGTGAAGTCTGTTGAAGAATAAAAACACAATGTACAAAGAAATAACAGGAAAACCTTTTCCTCACATCGCTCAGTACGGAAGAGCACCTACAAAGTTTTTTAACTCGTTACAAGTAGTTCGACTAACTCAAATTCTTTCTACTTTCCAGAGTAAACGACTATCTCAAAACTTTCGAATAATAAGATTTAAGAATACCCTTTTGTTTTTATAGTCTTAAAGAATCGTTTTAACAAATAGAAAGTTTAGAAGAAGAATTCTTATTAAACTATTTCAAGTCTTCATGATCATGATTAAGATTTAACGAGGACTTAATCCAATGAAAAATGTTAAAAAATAAGCTTTCAATTCACAGTTGCTACTATTTAAAAAAGCGGAGGTGTGAAGTGTTTTATTAAAATATAAAGATTTCAACGGTAGTCAAAGTAAATTTAAATTATAATAATAATGACAGTTTCATGGATTTTTTTACATTAATACCAAAGTACATGGCATGTCTCATTTTTAGATTGTGCGCTTGTTAGTGATATATTTTAATTTGTATAGACATTTTGAAGGGATTGGAGTTCAAATGGTAGCTAAGTATGGCGCTCTAGTGATATCGAAATATTTTTGATGGCGGTAGGCGAGTCAATATATAATTTAAAATTGATGGTAGGAACATCTAGATACAGTGTGGGTTTCGAATCACCGTTCCTTAGTGGAAGAGTTATGAAGGGGATGGTGGATGTCCGAAGGTCTAAAGACAAAATTAGATTACAGAGCATCTCGTATCACCTTCTATCAAGAGAACCCTATACTTGTCTGTAATTAAGCAAATAAATACACGCTCTAGTTAGACTCTACTCTAATGTCATCTTAGTTACGTCACTTTAAAGTAACGAAGCACTATATCACGTAATCGTCTGATTCAGACAGTCTTAATAGCTTCCCTGTCTCAGGCAGCTTGCATTTTGAGGGGCTAACATTAAAACTATTTACGTAATATAGTGCCTTGGAAGTAACTTACGACGCAGTTGTCTCTAACACGGCATAGTGTAATTTAGGCTTATCTAAATAGTAATCAATACATTGAGCCTTCATCTAATCTATATATAAGCTAATATTTAAACTTTGTTTGTTTGAACGCGCTCATCTCAGGAACTACTGGTTCGAATTTCAGAATTATGTTTGTGTTGGTTATGTCATTTATCAAGGAAGGCTATTATAAGCTGAAACATCGCTGTGCCTAATAGAAGCGAAGAAACAGGAGCAAATGTGGAAAATTAATCATCTTTGTGGGTTTCCAATCCGTACGATGCGAAACCGGGTCAAGATACCCCAAAAACATGTATGACAGATTTAAATAAAACACTTTAACGGTTTAAAACGCGATATATTAGTTAAAGTTATTTGGAAATTATTTTTAACATTTCCAAATAAGTTTAACTAATATATCGCGTTTTAAACCGTTAAAGTGTTTTATTTAAATGTGTACTACTCGCGTAAACTATAGATAGTATGTATGACAGAATTATTGCTCTTTAAAAGGTCTTAATATCCCTATATATCATAAGATTAACTTGCCGGAACGACTAAACGCGACCAACGTCGTGGGTAACAGCTTAAACTTATATAGATAAAGAGTAGGTGGGAAAAATCAAATTTGGACGTCCATGTCGCTGACACAGCTAGTAATATATATATATATATATATATATATATATATATATTATTATATATATATAATTTATGACACTTCCCTGAATGATCAAGTAACTCTTTTAACGGCCTATAACCCAAACTATACAGACATTAATTATATGTTTTAGTTTATTAATTATAAAATAGGAACTGACGCTTCAGTAGCTCAACAGCTAAAATTACTTAATAAGATAGTGCGCGTTTTAATCCGTTAAAATGTATTATTAAAAGTTTCCGTTTTTGTTACATCTATCATTTGTATGTGAGGTATATACAAATGATAGATGTAGCAAAAATGGAATGCATTATAAGTAAGTACATATTTTGCTTATTGTTTCCATCGATTTTCACTACAATAGTTCTTTAGAAGAAAGGCTTTCTTGTTAGTAGGCTTTACGAGAGCTTTGTCGCTGGAAATGGGAGTGATTCTAGAAAGATTTATTTACTCGTAAATGATTTTTATAAATATTCAAACTATTTCTAGCAATTGTCCCCGTGCCTTTATTGTAATTACTAATAGTAACCTAAAGAACGCTGTATGTATAGAATGTGATCTATTAAATGTTGTCTGTAGATTACGCGAGTAGTACACATTTAAAAAAACACCTTAACGGTTTAAAACGCGATATATATTAATTAAAATTATTTGAAAATTATTTTAACTACAGCCCGACGTTTCACATGCTTTGTAACAGCCGCCTCCCCGTGACCACAGCTACTTATATACACTGCTCACGTCACCTAACCATGTCTTCGTGTAGAATAATGGTAAACATAGTTAGCCTAAAAGTATGGCCTATGTTACGTTCTTCAATTGTTTAAAGCTAATGCTCGAGATCACCGTGGCTAATTGGTTAACCACGTTGCTTTGCAAAACGAGGTCTCAGGATTGAATTCCGGGAAAACATAATAAAAATGACCGGTATACATTTAATCAAATATCTGATTCTTAATTAATTTAATACGGACACACAATTGTATCCGGCCAAGTCCGTAACGAGTCAAACAATTAACAACGCTTATATTCAGAATATCGTATTCGAGAAAAATCGGTGCTAGTTTACACTAAAGATATTTTGAATACGTGGGTGATTGTAAATACGGGCGTGTAAATTGTGTTGAAGGTTCACAATTCGCTCGTTTCAAGCTGTATTTGCATGTAGTGTAATCCTGATATTGTAGTGAGACGTTGTTTAGAACTGATATATATACGATTTCGCTTTTATAAAACCTTATAACTTTTAAATTCTATAAGACTACAGAGCGATTTGAAAACTCCAAATACGAAACCATAATTTAAAATATACTCTAACAATACATAACTAATCATTTAATATAAAAAAATCTCGTGTTGCCATATTTCTCCCAAACGACTCGACCGATTTTTATGAAACTTTATATGCATACCAAGTAGGTCTGAGAATCGGTAACAAATTTTTATACCCCTAAGTGATAAGATTATGCATCGCGAACACATTTTTTTGACAACTTTCTTTATAATGAGGCATTAATAATGCATACAACTTTTAAATATGATTTTTAACTTCGGCCCGACGTTTCGGATGCTTTGCAGCAGCAGTGGTCACGGGGAGACGAAGCATCCGAAACGTCGGGCCGAAGTTAAAAATAAGTTTAACTAATATATCGCGTTTTAAACCGTCACAGTGTTTTATTTAATGCATACAACCCTACATTTTTCACCCTTCTATGACCAACCCCTATTTTTCAAGAGTCGTTTTAGTAATATAATACTTTTTCGTTCTTCTAACTGACCAATTATCACTTGGTAAGTTATCCCTCACAAGCGTCTAAGGGTGTCAATAAATTAATGTTTAGTATTTTGTTACTTTTATATCTCCTCATCCTCATCATTCCTCATCGTTCACAGCGCTCCATGCCTCTTTATGCCTCATGCACAAATTACCTAGAAATAATTTAGGTAACACATCAACGTTGGCCGGGTCAGTAATATATAATTTCTTTGATAAACAAAGGGAAATTCACGCGAGGCTAGATTTTCAGAGTTAAATTAACGCATATATTTTTTTATAAATTGTATGTCATTTCCGCTAATACTATATCTACCGCCATAATTACATAAATAGTTTAACATGCTGATGGTCAAAATCAGTTGAGTATTTCAAGCTCTAAACCTGGGTCCAACATTTTTCTAATCAATTTATAATTTTTCTTAAATATCGTCGTGAAATCTGGTCATTAAATTGGTAGTAGAAAAATCTAAATTCCGTCCAGGTCAGAACCACGGTCCCTACAAAAGCCGTAAAGTTTAATCTCATTTCTGTTTTAGTGAACATAGGGCGACATCACATCTCGTTTAGATGTTACATAGCTGGGGTATTTCAGCTACCATCAAGTAAACCCCATGGTGTCTTACAACCATAAAAAAAAACGCTAGAATAATATGTATTGATAGTTACACGTTCTACAGTCGTGTAGAAACATACTGACTGAATCATACTTACTTAATAAACATGCAAATCCCAGTTTTCTCCATGGCCCTGGAAATTCCCTTCCAGGACGCTACCATGGAGTACTTCTGCTTAGCTGTCAAGGGTAGCCTGGGATCCGTTTTGGGCGGTGGCCCGTCAGCCAAAACGTCGTTACCACCCCTCCTTTCCGACGCTGCCAGCTTACCCAACTGACAACCCATGTTTACTGTATACACACGTTCATAAAAACATTTCACAATTCCTGCACTTCACTGCACAGACAGTTTCACATCACTTCGAGTTCAGACGATCACAATTCTATAGAACAGACCAAGGATTCATTATCACTGATTACCTTCGTTCAGGTTCGCGTTTCGCATCTTTATCTTATCTTATCGTGTTACCTGTAATAAGAAAATAGTTTTATTACACTTGACAATTTCATATTCTACATTCAAGGAACATTATATCAATATAATAACTAACTATGACTAATACCAAAATATGATTAACCTGTCCTGGTTCGTGACCCGGATGACGTTCGATATTTCTACCACGGATTTAATATTCAGATTTGCAAACAATAGACAATAGTTTGCGTTTTATACCGTTAAAAGCTATTTATCTAAATAAATACATATGTAATATAAAAGCATAATGACAAGCTCACACGTAATTATACACTATGTTAAGCTAAAATTAAGTAACTAAGTATTATAGATCAAATTTCCACGTATAAACTGATCGCCTCAAGTCGTTTACGTTGAACTTTTAATATCGCCAACTTGACTTGGCTCTTGGAAAGTTTCCAAGTTATTTCAATTAAGTTAGGGTTAAACATCTATAGCACAAATTTAATCAAAACATTTATTCTGTAAACGATCTGTGATTTGTTATTTTCTTTGATTATATTATAGGGGAATAATGTAGCATAGATTTCTTGGAAATGTATCTCTACATTTGAAAAAGAAATAAAATGACATGTTTTCTTTTATGATAGAGGACAGACAAGCTATGACTCACTTGATGGAGGGTGAAAGAGGTATTATTCATATAACATTTCAACAGTATGTGGTGTCGGCCCCTGTCTTTAAATATTGGGAAATCCATAACCAGCAACCGAAACACGATTAGACTATAATCAATTTTCATCTATGGACGGTAGTTTATGACCCAGGTGTAATTTTGATAATCCACCCACCTAACATTAAGATTTCAAAACGAAGTCAAATATGTTAAAAAAATACAAATTCATTAGAAACATTAGGACATAGAAACATTAGCCACACCAATCACCAAGCCCGTTAAATATAAACATTAATACAAAAGTACCGTAGTTTAGATTGAAAACATGAAAGATACAGGCGGGGCTGAACCCGAGACCAAATTATCTCTCTATCTATTAGACTGCCGTATAGCAACAAACATCAAAGTACTTCTATAGCAATTAATTTCATAATGTATCATCGGGTCTACGTTGATTTTGAGTCGAAAATATTTTATTTCCTTACGTATATGACTTTTTGGTGTATAATTCAACAAACAAACTTATAGGAATTTAAGTGTAGCCCAGTTTATAAGGTCTTAAGAATAAAACCGACAAAAAGCAAAAGTTATCACAGTATATTTTGTAATCTCTCCTCAATTCGAAATATGTCAAATGTATATCCTTCCAAACACAATGGACCCCTTGTCTTTGGTCTCATGGGATTCGAACGAAGTTTTTTAATCTGGTGGATAAAACTTCCACTGTCACGTCAGTAATTTTCTTTCTTATTAGTTTACAAAATAAGTTATGAAACATATTTGAAAAGAGATGAAAAAGATATTTTCTCAAATATCGGTAGTATAAAAAATATCTCGGCGAAGTATCGCTTTTGTGCAAGAATTTGCAATCTGAATTTTAAAAATGGAAATCTCAACAAAACGAAAAGAACTATTGGTGTTTAATGAGTCTTGAAATATAAATTAAGTTTTTAACTTAAAATGGAATATATTTTCGAAATTATTAAGTCTGGAAAAGGCAACAAATGTAATAAAACATTTCATTTAGGGCATTTCAACTTTCTACGAAGTGACTCCCATGTTTTGCGTGTCATCATCTATACTAATATTACAAAGTTGAAGAGTTTGTTTGTACGTGCTAATCTCAGGAACTACTGGTGAGAATTTAAAAATTATTTAAGTGTTGGTTGGACCATTTACCATATAAGAAATAATAAAAAACTATGTGTGAAATAATGATTCTTCTTTTATTAATCTAAAAATATGTCTGCGACAGTATCTTTAAAGATTGCCTTGCAAGAATGACGGGACGACATAATAAAGTAATGTAGATTACTAATAATGTCAGACTTTCGTATTTAATGTCATATTTTTAGTATAGTAAATATAATAAATTAGATTGACAAAGCTTAGTACTTTGACAATCTGAAAAAATATATATTTATAGATTTAATATTAAAATTAAACACACTAATTCTATGACGCAGTTAACATATTTAATGTGTAAAAGATTTTAGCGAAGTTTAGTGAGTGAGAGCTTCATCTCGGTTGCCAATATTAAATTTAACTGTCAAAGATAACGTCCATACTACGCGAAAACAAAAAACCTATTCTGTTGTCAAGTGCTGACATAAATTTTCACGCTTGAACACGCGGCATAAAATGCGACACTCCAAATTTTTGTGAAAACGACAGTGCGAATTATTCACTTAATTTGCTTAAAATTTAACTCAATTCGACTCGGTTGAGAAAATTCATGATATTTAAGTGTGCAATAAATAATTATATATTCCCTTAATACTGAGAAGTGTTTTTGTGTTATTAAGTAACACACAAGGGATCTGATGTATGTAGTAATATCACTATTAAATGTTACGCTGTTATACCACTACAAAGCACAATATAAATATACTAGCCGTGACAGTGACTTCGTCCACGTAGTATAGTTATTGTGGGCATCCAAATTTGGTCTCGAAAACTTTCTCTTCATCTTTAAAAATTTAAACTGTCACCCACGACATCGGCCACGTCCTGTCGCTCGCAACCCGTCGTTCGGTTCACGTCGTTCTTGCAAGTTAATCTTAAAAGAGACATGTAGTGTCATGTAGATCATTTAAAGAGGAATCAGTCTTTCATACATATTTTTTGTGTTTCTTCAACCATTTTCGCAGCGTACGCATCGGAAACCCAGAGAGATGAATAATTTCCCCCTTCCCCATTCCCCTATTACACATCTCCATGTTTTAAAGCATGTAGCTTTCCTCGACACTGACATAAATATTTTTTTTAATTCGAACGTTCCTGAGATTAGCTTGTTCAAACAAATAAACAAACAAACTCTTCAGCTTCATATATTAGTATAGATATTATCCAAAATTTTCATAATCAATTACCGCTATTAAATAGTTTTTCATTGAACTCAGTTTAGATACAATATATATAAGACTATTATAATAGATTCTAAAAGCGCCCACAAAAATAGATTTTTGCTCGCCGTTATGTGCATTAAAAAAGAGAGGCAAAAATTTGGCTTATAGCGTTGATGTGGGTCACACAACATTGCAAATGACAAAAACGCTTTGATAACCATTACGTCACGTCGCCCTTTTGTTACATTTTTGCTTATATTAGATTTTTAAACGGGAAAAACATTAAATGATAATATATTTTTGTAGATTACGCAAGTAGAAATACTTAACGGTTTAAAACGCAATATATATATTATTTACTCTTGTTTGAAAATTATTTGAACTGCAGCCTAACGTTTCTGATGTTTTACAGTAGCCGTAGTCACCTCCCCCCCCCCCCAACGTTTCTGTTTGCCAAAACAAGGGGTTTCACTAAATATTTTATCTCGTAGTTAATATATGTTAGTTTTAATTAGGGCAACGTTGTCTACATAGGTAACGCAGTATCTAATTTTACGAGCTTCTGTTTCATTACCGTTTAGATTGAACCACAAATCTGCCTGATTTAGAGGCTTAAATGGGACGTGGCTATAATTCCAGCGATATTTTAGATTTAGTGACGTGAATTATAATTTATAACGAATAAGCTCTTATGATATTATACCAAGAATCTTTATTACTGTGCTAACCTAATATTTATAGTGAAATGTTCAAACAAATAGATTGTTTTGAATATCGAAAGCAAAAATAGGTCGATAGCGCATTTTATAGATGATTTCATCTACAACAAGTGAACTGGGGTTTGTCGAATACAAATTTAAGATTTTATTAAATTATTAGCTGTAACTTTCTTATGCTAGACAACGACATATAAGTATGGCGTTTATTTGGTGGAAGGCAAAGTACCCCAGATATATTTCATCTCAACTACATGCGCTGTCGGCCTATTTTGGTTGTGGATATTCGGGAATAATAAGAAAATAACACTTACATCTATGGAAGGTGGTTTCTACCTCTTACGAACCAAGTAATTATTAGAATTCCAAGAATCTTAATTAAAAACGAAGCGTACAATACCCACGACCCATTGATTATTAGACATACATTGCTACTATGAGATCAACAAACCCGTAAAAATTGGATTTACAAAGATATAAGGCTTGCGCGGCCATTTTGCAGTGCCAACGTGTCACCACGATTAGATGGCATCTTCAGATGTTGAGCGTTCCTCAAAGCTTTCCAACAATACATTAACGGCGATGACGACGCAACGATATAACGTCACACTGACTATGCTATATATGAAAAGTATCTTTTACGATAATTGGTACGATACTTATGAGCGCACGAGTGAACCGTAATAAAAATGATATTATAACCTTCTACGGTGACAGAAGCTTGATCACGTGTCGAATTATCTGAATTTTCATCAATTACCAGACGGATATACCATATAATATAGTATGACGAACTCTTGACAATTTACTATACCTTTTATTTGATTTTACACTCTTAGAGTTCGAGATCCGCCTGGCTTCTAGATTTCATTTGGCTATCTAGTCTAGTCTACATTACTTTAGTGTTCGGAAACTACACCTCTTGTAAGCATTTAAGTGTTATTCGCAAATAGAAAAATTAATAACACATTGATTACCTTCTTATATAAGATATTCTTTATTATTTATTAAATGATAAATTGTGAAAATTATGTACATTCAAGAGGTTAGAGTTACATAGAATAAACATTGTACTAATATTAATTTACTATTATTATTACTAATAACAATTTATTGTCTAGCAAAAGGCAT